GTTTATGTTGATCATTTCTGAAGCATGAGTATCTTGCCTTGGTGCTTTTTTCTTTTTATACATAGTACTATATTGATCTTTTTTCTTTCTTTCTTAATTTACATCTTGTTCCATTTTATTCTGAATCCTTCTGCTTGCCATAGACGAGGATTTTCCCGAGTATGAGTCAGCAGATCGTTGCCTGGCCATCCAGATTGAAAGTGGCGTGTCGTTGGATATCAACAGCCCTGGGGATTCCACCTGCACTACAAGTAGTACACCAAATGTATCATTGGTGAGTTGCTGAGTATATTTGCATGTGTATATATTTACCCACTGGAGATGGGCGCTGTCTTAGTATCTATGCTAAGATGCTATATACACATCACGGTCACATTGCAGTCCAGCTAACGTAGGGGCTACGTCAGTATAACCGTGGTAGTGAACAGCTATGCAATTCTGGCTACCATCAAAATTTGGTTGGTAGGAGCTTGTGGTGAATTGATTGCGTTCTGTATTATATGCATTTTCTTGTCTGTACTATATCATTTAAATTATTTTAATTCCTAGTTCCCTTGGTACCGGTTAGTAGGTAAGTGGAAATATCAGGAACACTTTCCATACATCAAATCAGTGTGGCTCCAATAAAGTAAGTATCTAACCCTGACCCGTTTTTATCGTTGTATGCCTATGACCCGCCGGATGTAACACTACTCGTCAGTGCCAAATCGAAGAGGACACGAATAAACCAGACATCTACGCGCACACAAACACAAGCAGCGCACACAATGAAAGGCTAGTTTTGGTAAGCACGACTTCCGTTTCTGGTGGGTTGTTCTGCGCGGTCGTTGAGTCGTGTTTGCATGCACGGGCAGCTGTTCTAACTTTTTGTTGATATCACTCACCTGCACTCGAGGCGGAAGGCACAGTCGTCGCCACAGCTGACAACGCACTTACGCTATAAGATAGAACGCATATGGACCTGTCAGTCTTTTTCATTGTATCGTGCCTATTGACAGTTCGGAATGTTGTTTGCTTGGTGTATGGTCGAGTTGAGACACGATGATCAACGTATGCAGTATCTCTCCTTTTTGGACACACCATGACACCATGACACTATCACACTTTGGCTACTGATAACCATGCCATAATGTCATCATTTGACCTCAGGGGGAGAAAGCGCATTTCCTCTGCAACAAATGGTATCCAGTGACTCTGATCATGAGCAGTGTATCAACTCTGCCCTTCCTCATCCCAACCTTTCTGTGGCAATGGGATGAGCACACTGTGCCGATCGTATCGCTTTCGACGGTGTCGCTGCTACTGTCTTTCTTTCAGTACTTTGCCTTTCTCGTCGGGATCTATAGGTACCGCGACTATTCTTTGATCAAGGTAAATCGCCGTGTATAGCGGAGGACTCTTTAAGTACGAATCCACGCGTATACATAGTCGATATTGATATATATATGTGTGTTTATGTTTGTGTGTATATGTCTTTGTCTCTGAGACTGTATTTTTTTTTAATGTATATATATAGATATATACGCACGTGTATATACATGAATATCCTGCTGTATATTTTCATACACAGAGTTTTAATCTATCTTATATATGTGTAAATATGTATATGCGTAGTTTGATATATATATATATATATATATATATATATATATACATATACTATACTACACACACATATATATTATTATATTATTATATATATATATATTATGTATATGTATATTGCAAATAAATATTTTACATCGAAACATTTCTCATGTTGCATTCGACCTTCATACAGGCGCGTGGGTTGATGTTCACCATAGTAATGATGGCCTCTGCCGCTGCTTTGATGCTCATGTCCTACATGAGCGTGCTGTTATACTCGGGTGTGCTCACCGGCGGTATCACTGTTCACACAGAGAATGTAGCGGATCTCCCTGTCCATCTGAAGCTTCCTAATGCCATACTAATGTGTATCATCCGAGTTATCCAAACCTTCTTCATGGCTGTGCTTACCGGCAGGCTGGCGGTGGTGTACACGGTAGGCATATCTTTCTGCAGTCTATGTCGTAGCAGTGTGGTTGTTTTGTGTACAAGCAACATATATATATATATATATATATTTATTATATGTATATATATATATACATATATACATATACGTTAAAGCCTTCGACGAGTCTGTCTTGTATCAATGTGGATGTTTATATACCTACATGTCATGTATATAGATATCAAAGCTATTAGTGTATGTATATGTTTGCATCTGTATGACGATTAGCAGAGCGTACACCTATGTTCACCTTTCGAAGCGTAGTTCAATTTTTAGTTCCATTCGTATGTATTTATTTCCTTCACCTTTGTCAAAAGTAGACTGACGATTGTGTATCCCTCATACGAGTGTAGGATGTATGCATGCATCTAAAACTAACAACGGTATATATGCACCTATAGCCTAGAATGCTTGTGGGGAAACATCAAAAAAAAAAGTAGACGAGTGTTTGTATATGATGCTATGGACGGGCCTAGACCATTTTGTGAACCTCAGAGTTAGCGGTGACATATGATGTGGATTCATTCATACGGATTCGTGTAGTTCATTCTGGTATCCGATCACCTAGCATTAGTATGTGACTTTGAACGCCTGCACATGTTCACATTGCTCGTCTCCGCACTCGTAAATAGTCACCGCTGTGCCCATGTACGCATACATAAACCTTCACACAGCAATTAACCCATTTACACACTATACAGTTATTCGTCTCCAAAGACCGCGTGAAGACCTTTTCCCGGAAAAAGGTCAGGTGGCTGTTCTGGAGACCTGTGGTGATTCTGGTTAGCATTTCGGTACTTGTTCTGCTGCCGTATCTCGGCTTTACCATCGCCTGGTACTATGCCGGGGAGCAGCCTTGGTTGGAAGATGCATTTCACTTTAGTTTCCTCGTGGGTATGTCTGCACCGCAAACAGTTGTCTCACTTCACACTGTCTGCTCTAGCGACAAGATGTAGAAACGGCACACTCGTGCAGATACTTCAAACGTCAACGTAGTGTGTGCTTGGGAGTATGGCACTCGTATACCGCATAATTTGCGCACGTTAAAGCATTAGTATGAAGGTATACATGTATCAACTAGCAACGTTATCATACGGTATATATATATATATTATTTTATACTATTTTATATTATTTTATATTGTTCACATAGTCAATCATGTGATCCTCGCGCCCCATACCTTGCAACGTCAGTTGCAACCTTGATTAGCTTTTCAGCGGCACGCCGAATAGTATATTCATATAATCCTGTGCATATTTGTATTTAAAGCTCAATACATACGCGCAGAAAACTGTGAGTACGCACGAGTTCATATCACGACTGTCCTTTGATACACGTTCGCTTGCAATGTGGACCAGGCCTTGCAATCGGTTTTTTGTATAATGCGTGACAATACCGTGATTCGAGTTCAATGCTTGCGTGTTAGAATTCCAGCACACGTCATACGTGCATATATGTATATGTATATGTATATATATATATATATACAGCTCAGCGCATGCATGGACACAGATATCTCATATTATCCTTGCATCTTTTTACATGCATTCATGCATTGACACACATGTTGTGCTGTAAAACGTCTCTTCTTCAGCCATGTGGACAATGATGGTGGTACGGGGATCGGCCTTTCTGTTCTACGCGTGGAAGTGTCGCGAGGTGGATCTGGTGTTCAGCGACTACGCCCAGAACTATCGCGCGGGTGTGCTGGACACACTGCTGATGCTGATTGTGTGTATCGTCTGGACCGTTGATGAAGTCGGTGCGAATGCAGTGGTGATCCTGCAGATATCAGCGCAGGTGTGTATGTGTACGCGGATGTATACTCGATCACTATAGCTGCATGTACGGTTTTAGGAGTGGTATGTGTGTATCCCATAATGTGTATCGATGTGTTTTGCTATGGTGTACAAGTGGGTGGCTATCATCCAATCTCATTGGTACAGTCTCGAGATCAGACAACAGTACTCTTGCCATGTCACCGTGGTTTTTTATTATTAAGTATATCGATGCTGCTCATTCCTATCCACCTACCTTGTGCATAGCTGTTATTATGTCACGTGCACACACCACATCGACTCCAGTTTCTAGTCACGTCACTGTTTTCAAATGTTGTGGTTATTGAAAGCCTCGCCAATGCACTATGGATGAGTTTACCTTTTTTATATATATCTCGACCAACTTAAATTGACCTTGGACACCCCTGTTACTTCCAACAGATTACCGTGCTGAGTTATCTGTTCGATGCCTACCTCATTCCGTTGTTGTTGGGTATGGATCAATACCGGCCACCGGAAAAGACTATGTTCAAGTTCCAACTAGGGAATACCCAGAGCCAAAGTCAAAGTCAAGGGGGTAACACGTCACAACAAACATAAATTAGAATTCATAAAGTAGTAGATATAGATAGTGTTACCATAATAAATATATAAATACATATAAAAATCGTTTCCGGGTCTTTGCGTCCTGTTACTACATCTGGACAACGAATCATATACGAAAGAGTATACAATACCGGTAATGTAAAGACTGCTCCTTCCGTTGACAAGTGGTGTTGTTGCCATTCGCGCATTAGTGCTATCATTCACGTTCTAGCCTGTTAGCGGCTCTGACAGTTCACGACAGTAAGCATTATCAATTGAATACAGATGCTTAGATTCTACAGTCACACTGTGGGTAAAAAAACAAGAAGTCGGTCTACACACAGTCCCTAAACCCACCCCTCGCCCCTGTCCTAGTCGCGTATCGGCGTAATCTTTCTTTTTTGCATTGTCCGTCGTCGCTTCCATGATGTCGTTGCCTACAGCCTCATGGCCTGCCGTTGCCTAAAGGTGCATCATCGACCGATCTGAATGGTTTCCTGAAAGATTTGAGTAAGAGCACATATGTTGGGACCCGAAAGATGGTGAACTATGCCTGAATAGGGTGAAGTCTGAAGAAATTCAGATGGAAGCTCGTAGCGATTCTGACGTGCAAATCGATCGTCAAATTTGGGTATAGGGGCGAAAGACTAATCGAACTATCTAGTAGCTGGTTCCCTCCGAAGTTTCCCTCAGGAT